GGAGCACAAAGGAAAGTGGCTCAAGGCCTTTTGTTAGTGGGAGTCTGATGGTTTTCTTTCTTTTCTCTGGGATGGGCTGTTCCCCTCTGGGAGCAGGTCCACTTACTTGATTGACACCTATGATTGATGAGTGGCTATTACCTCATCTTAGACTGCGCATGTCCCGTCCCAGAGTTCAGTCTGTTATAATGATATTAATGAACTACTGTGCATATGTATGATATTATAATGATGGTATAATAAGGCTAAGGTGAGATGGAGGTCGTGGTGGCCTTCTACCATGCAGGTTCGTGAGTGACAGGTCCAATTTAGTTAGGTCCTCACAGCAGTTAATGGTTAGGGCAGATAAGGGAAGAATTTGGGAGGTCACCAGGTGAGGTGCCCCCATAGGTTGTGTTGGATGTACAGGACCGCAGAGACCGAATTGCCTGTCTCTAACTGCCTGCCTTAATTTTCCTGAGAGACCTGATCTGCATAAATTTCTGTGGGGAGTTGAGGGACGGGAGGTGTCTTTTCCTGTATCCACTTCTAGCTGAGAAGGAGGGTAGAGCTGTCCCTACCTACTCGGGATTCACGAAACTCTCACCCTAGCTGATCTTAAATAGTAAAAAAAGGGGATCTCTTCTTCCTTGGTCGGGGTGCACTGGAAGCCTCTCTGGGACATAATTTGTATCCCAATGGCCCCTAGATGAGGAGCGACAGATGCCAGTTAATAAATTAAAAGCGCTGGCTCCAGGAATAGGACTGGAAGCCCAATTATCTTATTTTATCCAGGGGTTAGGTATGGAATGGCCTGGAGGACTGTTAAAATCCACTTAGTCTCCGGGGTGGAGTTTATTTATCCATGAGCAGCCGATGAGCTGCCAACAGATGGCAGGATGGCTCGGCTAAAAAAAAAAAAAAAATTCCTAGTGAGGGAGGCTTAAAATTTCTATAATGAGGGGGCTCTCCTGTATCACTACCACTGCTTGAATCTCATCTTCTGTTTCCATGAGTATTTCTAAGTGCCCTTTTGTCCTCATATCACTTTATCAGGATTCCAGTTGCTAAAAAAGAGTATCTAATAGGCTGATCCTAGTTCACATGCCAATAGCTGCCTGTTTTGATTTTGCTTTGGGAGATGGAGAATATTTTTTATATAAGAGGGTGGTTCAGATGCTTTGTAGCAAAATAATAAAACTTCAACAAAGACCCTTTTTTCTAAATTCATAAAATTGTATTAATTTTAGTAACCCTTAAAGTATGTTTAGCTGGCTTTGACATGATCTCCCTCACAAATTGCACCATTATGCCAAAATTATTGTTTTTTACTAAGTGTATGTATCAATTAAGGTCATCATAATGTATCCATAATTTTATTCATGATATGATGAAGAAGCAAATATGTTTCTTATAATCTCTTCCCAGAGGATCTGTTAGAGCTGTGTGAAGTTCCCATTTATTGAGTAATTTCTATATTCCAGGCACTGGGCTAGGTAATGTGTAGGCAGCATCTGTAGTCCTCATAAGTACTTTGCAAACTCTTTATCATTCACTTCATTTTCTATGGAGAGAAAATGAGATTCAGAAAGGTACAAAATGGCCTCAGAGTCACTAAGCAGTTTATCTGCACAGCCAGGACTATAAGAACCTAGGATTTCCTTCCTTCCTTCCTTCCTTCCTTCCTTCCTTCCTTCCTTCCTTCCTTCCTTCCTTCCTTCCTTCCTTTTTTTCCTTCTTTCCTTCTTTTCTTCTACATCAAAGTCCTTGCTCATAATATTTTCACCACTTTGCGTGGCTAATCAGCAATGAAAAAGCTCGTGACTCCTAATCTCATAAAAAAATATATTTTTTTTTCTGAAAATATATATTGGTCATTGACATTATAGATTCTCTGTCCCATAGCCAGGCTTTTTAAACTTTAAAAAATTATGATATTGTGATTTACAATAAGAAATACATATTTGGTCTTCATCCCCATTTCTGGCACAGAGATCCTAAAATGCTTGAAATTCCCTAAATGAAAAGAACAATAAAGGCGTCTTGTTATGATAATGAGGAGACCTTTGGACCTCACCTAAGGAGAGCAGCTGGTTGCAGGGAGACTCAACCCTGTAATTAGAGAATTGGAACTTTCAGTTCTACCCCCTCATTCACCTCCAGGGAGTAGAGAGGGGCTGGAGATTGGATCAATTGCCAAGGGCCAATGATTTAATCTTTCATGCCTATGTGATGAAGCCTCCATAAAAAACCAAAAGGACTGGGTTCAGAGAGCTTCCAGGTTGGTGGACACATGCAGATTTGGGGAGATTGGTGCCCATGGAGAGGGCATAGAGGCTCTGTGCCCTTTCCCATACCATGCCTTACACTCCTCTTCCATCTGGATGTTCACCTGTATCTTTTATCATAGCCTTTTATAATAAACTGGTAATCCAGTAAGCGAAACATTTGTCTGAATTCTGTGAGCTCCTCTGGCAAATTAATCAAACCCAAGGAAGGGTCATGGGAACCTCTGATTTATATCTGGTTGGTCAGGGTCAAAAGTACAGCTAACAATGTGGGCTTGCAATTGGCTTCTGAAGTGGGCTGGTTGGAGATTGGGGAATGGAGTGGAACAATCACGTAGGACTGCCTCAACCCTTCACTGTGGTATCTGGTGCTACTTCTGGGTAGATGGTGTCTGGATCGAGTTGAACCCTGCTGGTGTCAATGAATTTCTTGCCGGTGATGTGGGAAATTTCTCTTCCCGCCACATAGAAATTTGGGTTCCAGAAATACCCATCTAAAATCATTCCTGACTTTCACTCAGAAATAAAAACTGATTTGAATATAGATCCTTGGCTGTGTCACTGAGAAGCAGAATAAAACCTACAGTGCTCTATAATAAAAAGAAGAGGAGCAGGAGGTTGTCAACGTGGTCATACATTTGTCATTTTCACTGGGAACCAGAGCAGAGTAGAAAAGCATCTGTAATCAAATGTTGCAAAAGTCACTGCCCTAGTTAAACTGTTGTGAACTGGGGCGCTTGGGTCTGAGTAATTCAGGACTTTTATTTTCAGCACATGTCCTCAATCATTCTTGTAGAAATGAAGGCCATCTCTTGACTCCAAATGTGCCATTTACCCTCTGCACATAATCTGTAACTTTCATCCAACCAAAAAAGACAGTAAAGCAGAAAAATGTTACATTCTCAGACAAAAGAAGTTGAAAACATCTGAGGAAAGGGGAAGGTGAAAAAGTTTGCCAGGGTCTTTTAAACCAAAAAGATACATTTCTAGTTGTATACCCTAAAAGTGCTTCCTTTTACTTTATCATTTGTATATGACATTGTATGCATAGAAAAAATATCAGCCTACATCCTGAATTTACAGCAATTTTTACCTATAACTTTTTTTTAGTAAAAGCACTTTCTAAAAGGTGAAATTTTAAGTCCATAATGTAAATATATCTCTAAGGAATAGGATGATATTATAGAGAATCACTACAGTAAATGGCATTCTTGCTTAGTCTGCCTTAAACAACGAGCCTATTAAAACAATCACAGTCCTAATAGAAAGAGCAAGAACTTAAGAAAACTCACTGTTTTATTAACAGGTCCATTAATGACTATAAATTACAGAAGTCTAACATTTACTACTCTTCTGCCTTCTTTTCTATGCATTCCTACCTTAGCATTCTCATACTCCTGTAATTATCTTGTTTACTTATGTACTTTTTATTGTCTATTTTTCCTCTACTTCCAATGTAGTTTTGATCAGGGCTACAGCCTTGGTTCTCTCGTTTACCACAATGATAGAACCCAATCACAATTTCTTTTATTTATGCATTCATTCATTTGACAAATATGTATTAGTCTTCTATTTTTTGTCAGGAACTGTTACATAGACAAGGGGTCTCTGGCCTCAACGTGTTTAGAGATAGAAAGCAAAGTAAATTAATAACGTAATTTCAGATAATTTTAAGAGCCATGGTGGGGGCGTAAGGTAATGAAATAAACAGTGCAAAGAGGGTAGGAAAACTGTTTTAGAAAAAATAGCCAGTGAGAGCCTCTCTAAGGAGGTAAAATACAAAGAGAGACCTAATATGAAAGATTCGGGGGGAAGAATGTTTCAGTGTCAAGTAGACTGAATAGTATAAAGATCCTGAGGTGGATAAACTCAGTCTTCCAGAAGTAGCACTAAAACCAGTGAGCAGGGGAAAGAACGAAAGACGAGGAGCAGAAGGCAAACATACGTGGTCAGATGACGCAGGCAAGGCCTTCTTTCAGCTCGTGCTTTTCAAACTTTGTTGTGCCTGCAAATCAAATCATCTGGGACCTCGTTAAAATGCAGACTCTGGTTCAGTTGGCCTGGGGCCAGGCCTGAGATTCTGAATTTCTAACAAGTGAGAATGCTCATGCTGTTGTTCTGGGGACTACTCTTGGAGTAGCAGGTTTCTGAGCTTGAAAAGGACTTTGAGATTCATTGTTAATCTGAAAGACATAAAAGGGCCTTGGGTTTGGAATGATACAACTTATTTACGTTTTAAAAAGATCACAAAGGCTGCTGTGTGTATAGAAGAAGCCAATTGGGGGAGAAAGCTTGGAAGCTGGAAGCCAGTTAGGAGACTGCTTCTGTTAGGCAACAGGTGATAGTGGCTTGCAATGGCAGTGAAGGAGCTCTGGAGATATGGTTGAATAGGAGACACATTTTGATTATGGAGTCAGTAGGACATTTTCATGGGTTAGGTGTCGGATGAGAAAGTGAAAGTGTGAAGAAGATAGACAGCTAGTTTTTAGGCTGAGCAACTTGGTGATTTGTGGTTCCTATTATAAAGATGAGGCACTTTGGAGGAGGAAAAGGATGGGTTTGGTTTCAGATATTCTGTTTTTCAGAATGTTATATTAAAAATCATATGGAAGTAAGAAGTATATAAGCTGAATATATATATATATATACTCATATATATATGTGAATATATATATATATATATATATATATATATATATATATGTTAGGAGCTCATGGTAGCGTGTTAGATGGGAGATGAAAATTTGGGAGTCACTAGATTTTAAAGCTATGCAATTTAATGAGCTCATCTAGCAAGTGAGTATACATTGAGAAGCGATTTGATTTGAAAGGAAGAAAGGTCAGCCAAGGTGACAGAGAAGAAGCCACCAGTGAGATAGGGAAATAGAAAAAAAAACAAAGAATGTGTGACGCTCCCGAAGCCTAGTGAAGAAGTAAATGCTTCAACATGGCCTGGAGGAAATTAATGAGGAGAGTTCAAATAAAATGAATGGCTAAGAATTGACCATTGCACTTAGCAAGATGTGGACGTTGCTGCTGACTTGACAAAGGTGTTCTTGGTGAATAGGGTGATGAAATCTGGTCTGAACTGTAAGAAAAAGAGTGGGTGATAATAAAGTGGAATTTTTCAATGATTTTTGCTACAGAGAAATGGGCCATAATTAGAGAGTAATGTTAAATCAAAGGATTTTTAAGATAGGAAATATTGAAACATGTCTATGTACTGCTATGAATAATAGGCCAAGAGGAAAACAATGGTTATACAAGTGTTGGGGCTGACTATGAAGGGAAGAGACAGTGTCAAGAGGGAATGCAAAGTGTGTGTGTGTGTGTGTGTGTGTGTGTGTGTGTGTGTATTATAAAGATCCATGTAGGTTGGTAGAAACCTGGTGGTGGAAATATAAAGCATTTTTCTTCTGGATGTTTTTCTTTTTCAATAAAATAAGAAGCAAGGTCATCAACTAACAGTGAGAAATGAGGAAGGAATATTGGAGATTTGAGCAGTGAAGAAATGGTGTTAACATAATTATCTCAGGAAGTGTAAAAGCAAATTTAATAAGGTAATGTAGCAGGATTCAAAAGCTAGTATGAGGAGCCATTTAAGATACAGTAATATAATTAAGGTGAACCAAGTGGGATTTCCTCTAGTCAGATTCATCTGTTGAGGGAACAAAATGGCAGGGTTACTGAGGATGTATGCAGAGGAAAAGTAATTGTAATGGACCACGGCATCTAAAGCAAGTAAGAAGGAAGTGAGGGCTTGAAAATGTGATGAGTTGTTACATTGTCCAAATGGGACCAAACAACTGTTACTAGGGTATGTGAACTGGAAGACGGGGTTATTTGAATCTCAGGTAAATAAAAACCTATATAACGCACCCCTGCAATTCTCCAAAGGTGTGTGACTTTTAACTACATGCACACAGCTTGAGCTATTGTGAAGTTATCTCAAAGGCTAACTATTTATCCAGTCAGCATATGATTTTATTTACTTACAATTTCTCAGAAATCCATCTACTGAGAAAAGGGAGGTCCATCAATATAACAACTTTCTCTCTTTTAAAGTATGTTAAAAATTTTAATGCACCAAACCGAAAAGCAAAACATCATTCAAACCAAGCATGCTATTAGAGCATCATCCTTAAGTGCTGTTTTGTCTTTCTGCTGTTGTTCTCTCAGCAGCAATAAAACAGAAATCATATTACCAAATTTGAATGCTAATACATTTCCAGAATAATCTGAACAGCAAACAAACAGAATCTTGTAACGCCATCTCAAATGCTCTTCAGAAAACAGTCAGGAGGGCAAAGAGTCCATAAAGTAAGGCGCAAGGATAGGCGATGAGAAGCTGTTGTCCTTCCATGTCCAAGGCCGAAATGAAGATTTTGGAAGCTGAGAGGCTACACCAGCCAATGATGACCAGTGCTGACATGGTTCCAATTGTGCCCCTATAGCAATGACAAAAGAGGGGATTGCCTTACATCAGGAGACAAAGAGATTATTACATCAGAGCTGCCTCTGAAATGTCCTGTGTACAGTACTTACAACTAGTTTCTCCATTTGTAAAACAAGGGTTAGGAGCCATGTGAATGCAAAGGCCTTGGCCAGTTAGAAAATATTTGACTCAAATTCACCATCAGAAGTGAAACACTTCATACTTCAGAAAAACTTGAATGAATAGAAACAGAAGAATTCATCTGCAGTTACTCTTATATGTCAACATTCAAATCACAACTCCTGGAATTCTTTTATATAAACTCTGTACAGAAACTTCTTTCATAATACAGATTTTTTTTCCCCCCAATGCTTTCTTCCTAAATTGACCTGTGGTATAAGCAGCAAGATAACTGGCCTTTCCCTCCAGTAGGGTGTCTAGTCCCCACTGCTCCCAAGTCCCCTTTCCCTAGTTTTTGTCTGAGGACAGTAAAGCCTAACACAGCTCAAGTCGGAAGCACACAGAACAGGAAGCACCTATGTGTGTTGCCTCCCACGTCATCGCTAAAGATCCCATTTAGCGTATGTGTGGATTTTTTTTAGAATACGGAAATGGATTTGTTCAAATTGATATCTTCAAGAAGTAACTGTGGAAGCAATTGGTCCTTTAAGAAGAAATGGGGAAATAAGGTAGTTAAGCCTAGCCATCTTGGGAATAAAAAAGGAGGTGTGGGAGGTGAAGAATTTTTCTTATGTGCAAAGTAGAATGCATTATTTAGGAAAATACGACATAAGAGTTAGGAGAGGTCTCAGGATATATCTTGTTCCTAGCAATAAAGCAAGGAAGTGACTTGACAAGAACTGCATAGTCAAATGGACATTAGACCAAAATCTCCTAACGTTTAGTGCACTGTTCTCATTATTGAACTACACTGCCTCACTTGACCCTGGCTCAACCTGAAGTTGAAAATTATGTTTATGATTTGTGACACTGACAACAGAAATGCATGCTTTTAATAACTAAATCAAAGCAAAACAAGTGAAAAATGTACAATACCTTGTAATGCCTTAGATTATAAATAAACCAAAAATACATAAAAAGCACTCTAACAAATATTATATTCATTGGTTTAATTAATATCTGTTAAGAATGACTTCTAGAGTGATTTAATTTATATTTTTTGTGAAAAAAATGTAAATTATATATGATTAATCTGAATGGCATGGTAACATGCCTGAAAAGGCAATTTCAGTGTAACAGTCTTAGGGGTCAGATAGTTTATTCCCCTTTAATATAATTTAAAGGATTTCTAAATCATCCTTTATAATTTCAGAATGAAAATCTAATGAAAAAGTCCAGACTTCTAATGATTCTCAAAATCCAGGAGTTTAATTTTCATTTTTTTCTCCAAATCTGGAGTCATTTAAAAGGCCCTAAATCTCAACTTTGCTGAAATAATGTTTAAAACGTAGAATTTTCAAAAGCACATCATTATAGTACAAGTTCTCTGGCAAAAGCATTTGACAAAATAGAAGTTTAGAACTGAACTTTATATTAAATTGTCAAATGTTGGTACCAAACAACAGAAAACGGCACAGCTTATTAAAGAATATGATATACAAAAGATGGAATTTTTCCATGGATAACACTCAATAAATATATGAGGTCTGACAATTCAGTTTGCGAACTCATCCTAGAAAAAGTGCTACATACCTCATTGCTGAATATCACTACAGTCAGAACCTTCGAAGTACACCCCTTGGGAAGCTATGCACCGATGCCAGCGCCTAGTCCACCCTTCAAAGCAATTTTGAAACTCTTTTTCTGGAATGGCCATTAGAGCTGTCGTTGTATTACCCTTGATGTCCTAAATGTCTTCCTTTCAATATTCCCTTTATCTTCAGATAAAGAAAAAAGTCATTGGGGCCCAGATCAGGTGAGTAGGGAGGGTGTTCCAATACAGTTATTTGTTTACTGTCTAAAAACTCCCTCACAAACAGTGCTGTGTGAGCTGGTGCATTGTCGTGTTGCAAGAGCCATGAACTGTTGGCAAAAAGTTCAGGTTGCTTTCGTCTAACTTTTTCACGCTGTCTTTTTAGCACTTCCAAATAGTAAACTTGGTTAACTGTTTGTCCAGTTGGTACAAATTTATAATGAATAATCAATCCCTCTGATATCAAAAAAATTTAGCAACATCTTTGCAACAAGTTTGCGAACTTAATTGGCAGACCCTGTACCTATAACACACAGTGTATTTATACATTTTAGGTATCCGTTTTCTGTTGTATTCCTCTTTTGAGGAGTACGTGCTGATAAAATAAGAGTTTGCTCAAGTTGTTTTCAAGAATGTTACTTTAAAAATAAGACCGTATTAAAACAAACAAAAAATCATTTCCTTGTTTTGTTTTTTTAAAAAAGAATGAGAGGGCCGGCCGAGTGGCGCGATGGTTAAGAACTCGCTTGGGATGCCAGAGGGCCCCGGTTCGGATCCCACATATGAGGGCCAGTGACACTGCCCTTCTACAGCTAAGATGCTGAACAACAGCTCAACCTGGAGCTGGGCTGCCGTGAGTCGCCGGCGATGGCGTGGGCTGCAGTCCCTGCTGCAGTGGGTTGCCATGGGCTACCGTGTGTAGCCTGTGGCCAGCAGCCAGTGTGAGCGGCCAGCAGCCGCAGTGAGCGGCCATCCAGAAGCCGGCGACTGATCTGCCTCGCCAGAGAAGAGCGCAATGATGGTGCCAACTTGGGCCAGTGAAGCAACATCCTCCACAACTAGATTGAAGAACAAAACGACAGCAATTTGTCTGTTCCCCTTTCCCCAATTCCCCAGCACTGTTCCCATCCCCCCAATTCCCCAATAAAAATCTTTAAAAAGAAAAAAAAAAAAAGAATGAGAGCTAAGACATTCTCAATAATGCTATGAAAAAAATATATGATAGTATATCTAAATAAAAATATTAAACGCTTCTCTAAAATGTCTTTCTTCAGCAATGGTAAATTCTTTATATAATATCTTATCCAACATAGGGTTAATAACCTAAAATATGGATCATCCAAGAAAAAAAAATACAAATCGTGTCTCCTTTGGATGTGCAAGAATGAGCACTGATAGCAAATGTTTATTTCTAATTAGGTTTAGAGCATGTTAGGTGACAAAGGACTATGTAATTACTTGTCTCCCCCACCAAAGTAGTTGTGATATGCATATGCCCTGGGGAAGTGCCTGACAGAAAGGTAGCTACTGGATCCTTATTAATAGTTTTGAATCACAAATACTAACGTCCCAGGAAGTAAAAAAGAAAAATATATTGACTGAGCATATATGCCATAAAGTTCTCTCGCATAATATCCCCATCAGGGTTCCTAGGAAATTGGCACTGCATGGAGCCCAGCTGAGAAAGAATAGTTGCTCCCCGCCTAGAAGACCGAGTGCCTGGGAGCTGAGGCAATTTGTCAGCGTTCACCAGGCACTTACTCTTCCCAAATCAAACAAGTGCATTTTCTGTAGTTGTCGTATTACCCATAACAATAGTTCATATTGAAGAATGTGACAACTTACAAAGCGCCAGTTTTAAAGATTACTTGGCTTAATTTCTTTTTTAAATCATTGAAATAGGAACAGCATCTGTGTCAAAACTGACCTAGTTTCGTGAATTTGTGTGTAGCTTGTAATAGTCACTAGTTTTCCCCGATTCCACTACCAAAATGATCAGAAAGAGGTTAACTGCTGCGCTGATGTGGCAAGAGCCAGCAATGACCGCGCATGCAGGGTCAATCAGGACACACAGATACTTACTGCAGAGAAAAGAAGATGGCGCTGCTGGACAGGATGACCATGGGGAGCAGGCAGTAGCCCAGTACGCTGGCCACACAGCCACAGGACACCTCTGAGGAGCTCATCAAGTTTAGCAACGCGTGAATCCCTAGGCAGCCAATGGCACTCATGCCATACACATAACCAAACTGAACTTTTCCTGCCTGAAACAATGAGAAGAAAACAGTTTGAGGAAACATCAAGAGGAAATCAGAATGTTAATACGTACATCAGAGAGCATTTTAGAGTCAATCAGCTCAACTTAATGCTGCTCCATATCTTTGTAATACGTACAATTATCAGGAGACTCGGAGTTCTGGAAAAAACACCGGTTAGGATATGAATTCGGATCCTGAAAGCTAATACCCCGACTATACTTGGGATGTTACAGAAAGATAAAATATTCCTAGGTTTATATTTTTTGTCACAGATTGCCTATTAGGGGTACACAGCATAAGTAAGAATATAATTTCTCCCCATATTTGTTGAATAATTAAATGAATGAATAAATTAATGACAAAATATTCTAATTCAGTCTTGGAAAGTTACAATGCATACTAGTAATACTAGCAAACATCTACAGGATTTACTACGTTAGGCCCTATTCTAAGCATTTCACATCTATTAAATTACTTAATCCATACAACAATCTTATGAGATAGGTACCATTATTATACCAATTTGAAGTGCAGAAAGGTTAAGTAACTTACCCAAGGTAAAACAATGCTAAGTGGTAGAGCTCAGCTTTGAACCCAGGCAGTGTTGCTCTAAACGTTAAGTCCTTGACATCTACAGGAGCTCTAACATGTCCTAAAATAATGGGACTTATTTAACCTTTTTTAACTCAGTATATCCCAAACTTATTTGACCATGGAAAATTTTGTTCTCATAATGTCTATGGCCAGTTTAACTGAACACAACTTATGAAAAGCTGATTTATATCAACCATCTGACAATGAATCATAAAAAAGGTATTGTTAAAGGAAGTCAGTAGTGTTCAGGATACACCACTGATCTTCTGAGGCCTCATAAAAATAGCCATCACCCATGAAGCACTGGGGTCTAGTTAGCTGAAGTAGCTCCATTAAACTCATGCAGGAGAAGTCACAATCTACTATTAATTTAACAGAGGATATTTTAATGTTCGCTACCTGAGGATGCCAAAGCACCAGTAAAGAATGCATTTAGTTTTTATATTTACATTAAGCTGATTAGAAATTCTAGATAAAGTTTGGATAAGCTGACTCTGACTCTAGTGGGATTATACAAAAACAAAGAAGGATCTGGTAAATTGATTCAGAGAGAGCTTTTTAGCTGTCTCTCTTTTTTTTTTTTCTTCTCCACTGTTGTTTTCTGTGAAGTTCTTATGTCTTAAAGAAGAAAGAGGTATTCATTCGTCTTGTGATTAAACAAGGGTAATGGAGAATGTTATGACCATTAGAGTGTTCCAAATTGTAGAGCTATTTCCAATTCTTCTTCTGCAGTTGGGGAGGTTGGTCACTACTAAGTTCTTTCACTGTGTCCCTGGGCTATGCTGGCAGATCCTCTTCTGCATTAGCCATAACTTCTCAGTGAATATGTTCTGCATTCTGATGGCTACTTTGTGAAATAAGGCCAATGATGCTAATGGACATGTGAAAAGAAACAAATTATATGCACTGTTTCATTGGGAAGGTTTGCTCCCCTTGGGAAATAGTGACAATTTCAAATTGCTTTCATGTATTAGAGAAACAGTCTACTTAATTTCTAGTTGGATAGGGTAATTCTGAGTAGGGAGACTCATAGTGGTGAAAATGTGGTTGAAGCTGTTCTTTTGGTTTGCTTCCCTCAACAAGAAGAAAGTCCACTAAAAGGTTTTGTGTCTTATGTCAACATAAATCATAAAAATGATGACTATTTGACTATGAGTCTTACACCTCTAGAGATAATGAACAGATTTGGTTATCATTTCTGGATTTAGTTTTGTTTTTCCTAATACATGTATATACCAGCCCATAAAAATCATCCTTTACATTTTAATTCTAGATATCCAGGATAGGGATAACTTAGTTTCAAATGGATTCTGAGTTAAATCTGACTTCATTAATATCCAGATGTTTTTTTTCTTTTTATCTTGATTGCTCTACATGTATCAGAATCAATTCTGAAGTAACCACATTTGATGGTAAAATTGAAAGGATGATGTTTGCCTAAAAAGTTTCAGAAAAATATGCATTTTCACATTATCGCCCAATTTCTGAACTGAAAGGAACCTTAAGACCTACTTAAATAAGCCTCTTTTTTGTTTTCAAAATGAAGTTCTAAAAATAGAAAACAAAAGATTCAAGGTCACACCTAAAGGCAAAGTTAGGTGTAGATCTAATTTGCTCACTTCCAGTTGAGTTCTTTGCCTATATTGTTTTGTACTTAAAAGAAAGGATATAAATAATTCCAACTAATATTATGCACCCCAAAAAGATCTCAATGGGATTAATGCTTTCCTTTAGGACATGGTAACAGTAATATTTTCTACAAGAAAACAAACAGCTGTTACATTACAAATTACTTGAAAAAGAAAGATGAGTTAATGTAGTAAATTGATTGTTTCTGACTATTTGATTAATTGACATCGTTTTACTTAGGAGCTCAATCTAAGATTATCAAATTACTGTGACAAAAACAGAAGAGAGATTAGAGACTAAATTAAAACTCCAGTTGGTATAGTGTTTGATTTACAGAGTGTTTGCATTTGCTGTCGTTCAAAGGAAGAAGATGCTATGACTATACATTACTATACTGGATAAATGTGTTGGGAATATTGACCACATTACCATGGAGGAACTAGACTGATATCAGTATTTTGATATTGGTATTAAGTGGTAAATAAATAAAAAGTGAAAATTCATTTAGTTGCAAATACATTTTATAGCTATTTTTGAAAATTGCAGCTATACTGGGGAAAAAACAATTATGGGAAATGGATAGCTATAAAATGAAGAAGTGGAAAAGCCTTAGAACCTCTAATTTCCTGTATTACTTCTCCTGCCAAGTTTTTCACTTTGCACCTTAATGAAACTATACTTTTCAGACTGGTTTGACCATATTTTTCATGCTCTGTTTTTAATGTATTATCATTCCCTCCTTGGTATAAAATCATAGACTTTTTCTCATTTCTTCTTTTTCTTCCTTTGTAATGAAAATTTTTTCCTAAAGTATGAGCTAGAATGTCTTCTAAACTTAACTTAGGTGGAAATAACTTTTTTTAAAAAACTTTTTTGTGTCTTTTAATATCATTATTCCCAGATATAAATAATGAAAGAGACACATACACAAGAAAAATGGTAAAGTGGGGTGGGGGTG